GAGGTGCCGGTTTGCGAGTATTGGGTGCAGCTTCCCTGCTCGTGCTTTGCCCTTTTCCGCTACCTTGGACATGTGTGCATTCCACGAGCAGTCTTTTGCGATCTCTACTCCGAGGTATGTGTACTGGTCCACTACTGCAATCTCCTCGATCCCCCACTTCCATCTATGTTCCACTGGTTCCTCCTTGTTCTAGATCGTGGGGAAGGTACAAAAGAATTCCAACTTTCGGTGGAAGGGTAGCTACTGGTCATTCGTCGCAAAGCTCAGGTTTGGGAGCCTTGAACACAGTTTTCGGTGACAGAATCACCCCTCCCATCATCCTCCCAGAATCAGTTCGACACTCCACGGTCTGCCAACAAGTACTAGACGAACCGCCATTCTAGGGCCTTCTGGGGCCGTCGCCATACCTCTCGGGAAGTATTCATTCTAACTGTAATAATTTTTTCGCCGGAACGCAGAAAGACCACGTGTTCGCACCTGTAGTGCTCTTCATCGATGACCTTGACAATCTTTGCCGTTTCCCACTTCCTCCCGCCGGCCCCGTCGTCGTTCGACGACGCGACCCTGCGGGCGACGACGGGGTCTCCCGCATCCAGCCAGCGCGATTTCGCAGACTCAGGGTCAGCCTTTCCAGATCTCGATCTACGCGTGGTTCCAGAAGGGTCCGCGTGGCTGCGGAAAGATGATTTTTACGTCAGGCGTGGGGGGAGGGAGGTGTCCCATGGAGGTGTTGCGAGAGAGGAGAGAAAGGTTGATTCTTTCACGGAAAGAGCCGCATTTCTTGTCGGACATATTCATGGTCAGGACGCTGGTTGCGCAGAAGGAGGTTGCGAGAGGTGGGGGGGAGTGGGGGAGCACAAGAGCGTCGGTTTTGCGCGCAACATCCGAACGAGCTGGGTCGGTGTCCGGCAATGTCTGAATAGCTTGTCGAGAAGGGATGGTAAACCAAAAAGACCATGATGTACCTCAGTTTTTTCGAATCCAGCTCTTTGGTGCCGGAGCCATCGGCGAAGTCGACGCGGTACAAGCCCTTTCCCAGGTATGCGTCCACGGTGACCCTCGTCCAGTTCTTCCTCCCCCAACCCCCGGTCTGCGCGAAGACCATATCGCCTGCCTCGAATTCGTTGTCTTGGTGGTGGAAGTCGTCGCCGTATTCTTCATCATTTCCCGCACGGTCTTGGGAACGACCGTTATCGTTGTTGCTGTCGTTGCTGTTGTTGTTGCTTCCGTTTCTATCGCCGCCGTCCTTGTCGTTGTTATTGAGGCGGCGACGCAGGCGGTTTTCGGCGATGCGGTCTTCCTTTGGGGAGCCGTCCTCGTCGTACTCCACCGCGAAGGTGCCGTTGCTCCGGACGAAGACCACCGTGCCGGACCTCCATGACGTTTTGTCCTATTATTGCAAGGCAGTAGTTTCATTTTCAGCGCCCGAAGTGGGGGGAGGCTGGAGGGGATCGGGAGGGATGGAGACTTGCCGCTTCGTTCTATCCCTTGAACGTTGGTCAAGCACGTTAT